ACAACACGGAGGACACACCTGAGAAGGAGGGGCGACCTTGCTGGTGAGCCCTGCGGTCTACGGGGCTGCTGGATGAGTGCCTTTGGAGAGTGGGCCAGACCCCAGCCTGGAGGACACCCAACAGCTGCTGCCTGGCTTCACACTAAAGCAGCAACTCCGGGTACCGGAGAGCCTGGAGGACAGTCAACTGAAGAGCATGTCTCTAGAGATGCCTCGGAGAACTATGACGTCCCAGACGGACACAAAGACTCTCCCAATGCGTGGGAGATGAAGAGCATGTCTCTAGAGACGCCTCGGAGAGCTATGACGTCCCAGACGGACACAAAGACTCTCCCAATGCGTGGGAGATGAAGAGCATGTCTCTAGAGATGCCTCGGAGAACTATGACGTCCCAGACGGACACAAAGACTCTCCCAATGCGTGGGAGATGAAGAGCATGTCTCTAGAGACGCCTCGGAGAGCTATGACGTCCCAGACGGACACAAAGACTCTCCCAATGCGTGGTTCCCCCATCTAGGAATCTTTTTGTGGAAGACTCTCTGCCTCGTCTCAGAAAAACCTGGCGTTCGTTGTCTTTTTTTAATTTTTCATCACAGTTATTTACTCATTCTCTCCTGGCAGGGCAGGTGTGCGTACATGGGAAGGTCAGGGACGGCTTGCACAAGTCACTTCTCTCCTACCATGTGGGCTCTGGGGAAGGAACTGAGCTCCTCAGGCGGCACCAACTGTCTTTACCCGCTGAGCCACTTTCCCATCCCTGGTATCATTTCTTCCATTTGCAAGCAGTGCTGAAAACCCCATTGTGGATGAGAAGCTAATGTCAAGACAGCTGCCAAACACAAGAAAATGCGGCAAAGAGAAACAGGGTTGGGACCGCGTGTCGGTAAACCCTCCTGGCCTTCCCATCATCCTTCACGCTCCCCTCCTGGCTTCCGGTTCCCACACCCGCTCCCTCACCTCAACCCACCAGGACTGTAGACTCTGAGGGCACAGCTGAGTCTGAGCGCCGAATCACACCTCCACCTTAGTCAACAGGGCAAATTTACAATCCTGTTTCCGTGACTTTGCCCTGGTTCCTAACAAATTCACTCTTTCAATGGAGCCTTTGCGTATTTAGTCAGGTTGCCCAAACGTAATACCCCAGACGAGTCACCAGAGCAAGTTAAAACATGTTACTGTCCTGCTCACGTTTGCAGACTGCAAACTTCAGTCTTCTCAACACCGCCAGATTACGAAAGGCTCTCCTCACCCTCGAACTTTAGCACCTTAGAGTTCCCTAGAGTGAAATGTTCTCCCACATTTCCACAGCCACTGCCTGGAAACCCCCCCCCGCTAATGCCCTGTTCCTTGGCCCAGTAGCCTCTCTTCCATGAGCTCATCCTTCCTCTGAGTCTACAACTACATACCACACAGGCACTCTACTTGGCCCATGACTATAATGTTGATCCCCTTATCCCTGTATAACTTTTATGACAGCAGCTACACTGCCAAGTGGCAAACAGATATCTATAGCAGAAGGCCATCATTACCCTGGTGGTTTTAGCCCTAGATGGGTTCCAGGACCTCAACGTCTGGTCAGTGGATGACTTCTGACTCAACAGCCTGAGCTTGTGCCTAGTACGGGGCGTGGTGGGGATGGGCACAGCAGACAGCAAAGAGCCTGGGTTGCTACTTGTCTTTGAACAACTGACTTGCCATCTCTGTGCATGAGCTTCACCTTGGAAAGCAGGGATAATTAAAGTCAAAGCTGTCAATCAGCATATTATGAAGAGCCAGTTGGTATATATAAAATGCTTAGAGTCAATTGGTACATAAAAAAACGCTTAGCCCAGGCCTGGGCACCTAGAAGGAACTCAACAATTGCTGGCTGCTGTAATCAGAATAAAGGGGGATGGAGAGACACAGATGAATTCTTAGGAAATTATTACTATCATTTTTCTACCTGCCAAGCAAATAAACCCCTACCTAACATGGAGACGGCAATGGCTAGCAAGGGTGGGGAGGGCACTTCTGGGTGTATTCCCTTCCTGTGACTTCATGGAAAACCCTGTGCTAGCCCAATGGTGAGAGACCGACTTACGGAACCGGGTAAATGTGGGACCCTGGCTTCCAGCAGCAGGGCAGTCTGAAAGGGAAGCCCTGCTGAGGGCTCACCAGGGAGGCCAGAGTGGAATGAGTGCCTCTCCCCCTCTCCAGAGACTGCAGGCGTGACCCAGAAATTGTAGTCCATCAAGAAGGGCTTCCCTCTGTGGCTTCCTGGTGTGCTCTAGACTCCTTCTCTGCCAGGACCCTTTCTTAACTATTGGTGACTGAGCGCCAGGCATTCCTGAGTAACGGGAACTTTGCCTGGAGGAGTCTCAAGTACCCAGCATCCTTTACCCCTTGGGCCCCTGAGGGCTGAACATTTCTCTGATTGACACGCGGAGGCCAAAGACCTGGCTTGGCTTCTGCACAACAGCATATAGTACCCTAGCCTCTTGGAAGCAGGAGGCCCAGTTTCCCTCACGGGAGTACTGAGTTTCACACCCTAATGTTTCCACTAGGCATTCATGCTGCTCAAACCCTCGCCCCACACGACTTTCATGTATGGCCTTGGAATGACTGGACTTAACCTAGGTGATTAATATTTAAATCTAGGAAAACTGACAAGGACATCTGACCATGGAATAGTTTTCAGTGCCTGATGAAAACAATTTGCATTTCAGATTCATGCAGCTCTTAGTGTTTGAAGTTCCCCCAAAACACATTCAGACTCAAGGGACTTATCCAATGTCCCACTGTCAGGGAATAGCCAGGCTAGAACTTGAGCCCAGTGTTTGCTGAATTAAAACTGACTACCCCCAGGCAGTAACCTGCCACTGTCCCTAAGTCCATCCAGAAACAAGTCTACAATGACATTGGTAAGTTTAATCTTGGGGAAGAGAAAACAAAAATGAATAAATAAACAAATAAATCCACATTTCCCCCCAGTCTGTAATGGGTTTTCTAATAACACTAGATAGCAGTATATTTCTGTGTTAAGGGACTTATGGCACACTGTCCAGAGCTTGATAGGGTAAGTTGAGACACAGCTTTGTTAAGAGAAAAATAATCAGGGGCTTTGAGAAGTCTTGAAAATAGACCTGCAGGGGTTGGAGACATTTCTCAAGGTAGGAACTCCAAGGCAATCTTCAACAAACAAAGATTGGATTCGTCTAAAGACAGTTGCTCTCAAACTGCTTGTTTGCCTTGGAAAAACATTTCAATTCCTTTTATTTGATGGGCCTCTTTCATCACCAAATGCTCATCAAAAACAGTCCCTGGGCAGAGTCCCTGAGAACTGAACGCCATCAGCTCCCTACTCCCATGCCATGTGGTGGGACGGAGACCAAGGCAGCCACGCTCTGGGGGACAGAGCCACGGCCACCACGAACTGCCTGGGTCAGCTTTGACTGCAGGCCAGCTGAGGCCTCAAAGAGGCCCGCTGTGTAATGTGGGCAGCTGTCAGGGGGCTGGTTGTGCAGTCTGGGGAGAAGCAAGAGAGGCCATGCAAATGTCCAAGTCAGAACCACGGGGGACTGGTGTGTGGACCGTCTGCTGGATGTATGCAGATGGCAGGAGATGTTGTGTGGACCGTCTGCTGGATGTATGCAGATGGCAGGAGATGTTGTGTGGACCGTCTGCTGGATGTATGCAGATGGCATGAGAACACGGTGAGCTCTGGCCGTCCATCTCTGGTGTGTGGCTTTACCTTGGGGTTATTATGCACAGAGAAAGGCGTGAGTAAACGTCACCTGACCCGCGTACTCGGTGAGGGGGAAGGGCAGAAATTTGAAAGGGCAACAAGAAACCGAAAGTCCTTCAGAGGAGGGTCTGCAGGCACGTGGTGATCTCTTGCGACCGTCTGCCGAAGAGTCAGGAACGTGAGGAGACCCGGGCAATGGGAGCCACTGAGGAGGGGGATGGGGATGCCAGTGCGGGGTGTGACCTTTCCTGCACCAGCGGGATAGTCATCAGCTGTAGTTCCTCTGCATGGTGGGAAATTTCATCTTAAAACTCTTGACTAGTTGGATGGTGCTGGCTCACACCTCCAATCCCAGCACCTGGGAAGCAGAGGCAGGTGGACCTCTGTGAGTTTGGTTGGGTCAACCTGATCTACAGGGCAAGTCCCAGGACAGCCAGGGCAACACAGAGAAACCCTGTCTCAAAACAACAAACAAGAAACTCTTAACTAATAAATAAAGATATATTCACCTGTGGATGTTTACAAGGAGACCACAGTGGTAGACAGGTCTAGAAGTCTATACACCAAAGAGGTACCATAGGCCAGCATTTCTCAACCTGTATAGGTCGCCACCCTTTGGGGGTGTCCAATGACCCTTTCACAGGGGCCACCCAAAATCATTGGAAAAACACGAATATCTGCATTACAGTTCATAACAGTAGCAAAATCACAGTTATGGAGTAGCAACGAAAATAACCTTGTGGTGGAGGGTGTCACCACAACACGGGGAACTGTAAAAGGGCCGCAGCCTTAGGAAGGGTGAGACACACTGCCCAGGCCATCATCCCACAGGGCCGTCTTGGAAGAGGGGTGGAGGCACCTGCAGCATTTCGATGATAGGCCTCTGCCTCTACCTCTACGCTGCTGACTGCGAAGCAAGGAAGATGCGGCTCTTTAAAACTACAGCCCGTTATTTAAAGGGAAGTGGGAAAAATCCAGCAATCTACGCTTAAACTCACTGCAGCAGAGAGGAACTGGATTCCACAGCACGCGCGGGACCTCTGGGAGTCCCTCCACCCGAGCTGCTCTCATTCCTCACCTGTTAACCTCATCAGCAGTCAGTCTCTGAAGAGCTCCCGTCTGTCTGTCTCTAGCTAACCCCACCCAGCTAACCCAGTTCCCTGGGCGCCTGCCGTGGAGGGGAAACTGAGGCTGTGCCTGCCCTTCTCCCGCAGGAATGATCTGGTCGGAATGCAAGGAGATCTGGGAGGAGGGGCCGCGGGAATACGTGCTGCACCTGTGGAACCTGCTGGATTTCGGCATGCTGTCCATCTTCGTGGCCTCCTTCACCGCGAGGTTCATGGCCTTCCTCAAGGCCAGCGAGGCCCAGCTGTACGTGGACCAGTACGTGCAGGATGTAACGCTGCACAACGTCTCACTTCCGCCGGAAGTGGCCTACTTCACCTACGGTGAGTTCCGGGGGGTGGGTGGTCTGGGCCGGGCTCTGAGATGGGAAGTGTGCAGATCGCTTTGGCTGCTCCCAGGACCCGGGATTTGGAACCCACGGGTGCCCCGGACTCGCTTACAGATGTGGAATTGGTTTGAGGCTTAGAAATGGGCCTCTTGTGTTAGGAAGGATGCGTTTGTTTGGGAGAGGTCCTTGGAGCATTTCTGTAGATTTCTGGTTTTGTGTTTGAAGAACAATCCTTTTTTTTTTTCTTCCTTGACGTGGGGAACACAATATGCTGAATTTTTTCCGTGCATACTGGCGTGTCCTGTTTTCCAGTTCAGCATTCTTTCTCACGCTGAGATAAGGTCTTAAAGGAGACACTAACACGTTGATCACACTGGTTTGAAACGGGTTGCCTGGGAGTTGGTGACACAGCTTAAGGCTGCTGCCTCCCAAAAGCCTGAGGAGGTCTACTGTGAGCGAGCTCCACTCAGGCGACGCTGGGGTTCTTGACTGCCTGCAGAAAATAATAATTTCAGAATGCGCCAATATGAGTGACAGTCGGGGGTTGTTTAGACAAGATTTTTGTAAGTAACCCCAATTGAGCTCACTAGATCACCCACCCCCAAAAGACCAAAGTAAAAGAGGGACTAGTTGGGGGGGGGGGTTCACCAGGAATGGGAGGAGAGAGTAACAGAGTAAATGTGATCAAGCACATAACATATGTATAAAATGTCAGCATGAGACTCATTGTTAAGTATAATTCGTATGTTAATAATTATTTTTTAAAGAAGACATTGTAATATAGTTATGTAGTATGGGCATTAAGGGAAAGAGAAGAAAAAGGTCAGGCATTCAAGTGTGGGTGTGAGATTCTCAGGAGCTGCTTTTCTTTACAATACCTCGTGTACATGTGTGTATGTGTGTGCACATGCAAGTGTGGAATACACACACACACACACACACAAGCACAGTTTTGGTGGCTTCTGAAGCTGTATTTGGAAGGGTTGCTAATGAGCTTAAACAAGGTCATACATAGGCTGGCTCCTGTGGTGTATGGGATGGGATTACAGCTGCCAAGGTAAAACTGTAGGTCCCAGAGTTGCATAATGGAATTAAAATATTTTTACTATAACTTTAGAGTCTTATTTTTGATATTCCTAGAAATTTGTGGGTTTATACCTTGGAAAGGAGTAAGGCAGTGCTCAAAGGTCCTATACATCATTGCTATTTTAGCATTTATTACTTACAAATGTGTTTGTTTAGAAAGAATGTAGGCAACCTCCTCAGCTATTTTTTAAAAATATTTTGTTAATTCTTCGAGAATTCTAACAATGCATTTTGAATCTACTCACCCCAAGCCTGTCCCTCTAACTCCTCCATGATCTACCCCTCCCTCCCCCAAAGTTTGTGTCCTTTGCCTTAACAAAAACAACAACCCATCTACCCCGGTTTGTGCCGCCCATATATTCCTGGGTGGGGACCACCCACGGAGTGTGGGCAACCTCCTGGAAGCCACACCCTTAAAGAAAACAGACTCCCCTTCCCAGAAGTCATCAACTGTGCACGGCGCCTCAGCTAGGAGTCGGGGATCAGGAACCCTTTCCCCTCCATGCTAGAATGTTGACTGCCTTGAACCTGCACAAATCTTATACAGTCATCTATAGCTGTACTTAATGGCTCTTCTGGTTTTTGTTTTATTGAAAATAACTTTTCCATACAGTATATTCTGATCGTGATTTCCCTCCCCTCTCTCATCTCCTCCCAGATCCTCCCCACACACACCCCACCTCAACTCCATGCCTTCTCTCTCTGTTTAGAAAACAAACAGGCAAATTTTTTTAAAAATCAAACTAGAATAAAACAAACAAAGAAACAAAGAAAGAGCACAAGAAACATATGCCCATACAGACAGACACACACACAAACCAAAAAGAACCATAAACCATATAATCTGCTGGGCAGTGGTGGCACACACCTTTAATCCCAGCACTCAGGAGGCAGAGGCAGGTGGATCTCTGTGAGTTCGAGGCCAGCCGGGTCTACAGAGTGAGTTCCAGGACATCCAGAGCTATAACCCAGAGAAACCCTGTCTCAGGGAAAAAGCAAACAAACATTTAATCAGAAACTATATTTAAACAAAAGACCCATAAGGTAAAAACAAAAACAAAAAAGATCAAATCAAGTGTTATGAGACAAAGCATCTTCAAAAATACCATTGAGCATTGAGTTTATTTTGTGTTGCCCACCTACTGCTGGCCATGGGGCCTGCCCGTAAGTGTGGTTTGTGTACCCAGTGAGACTCCACTGGAGAAAACTGACTTTTCCCTTGTCAATTGGAGATAGATTCTGGGTTAGGTAGAGGACCTCCAATCTAGATACCGTCTCAGCACTGGGATTCCATCCGTCTTGGACCTGTGTGAGCCCTGTGCAGGCTGCCACAGTCTCTACAAAGGCTTAACAACTGGCGCCTACACATAAGAGAATACATACTATATTTGTCCTTTTGGACCTAGGTTACCTCATTCAACTCCATCCATTTATTTGCAAATTTCATTTTTTTAAACAACTGAGTAATAATACTCCATTGTGTAAATGTACCACATTTTCATTATCCATTCATCTGTTTATAGGCAGGTAGTAATGAATTAACCAGACCCGGTAGAATAATAGTGTTTATTTGGGGAAAGAACTTGCACAGAAAACAAGTGACTGACTGTCACAGATTTCCTGCTCCAAGGATGCAGACCCTGCCTCCCAGATGCTCTCAGCAACTCCAAGGGACCTTCTGAGTCTGGATTCTTTCCCTTTAACCAGTCAGGTCCTCACTTATAACCACGCCCAAAAGGCGCGGTCACTGCTCCAGGTGCTGAGGCGAATATATTGCTATATCTGTTGAGGAAGAGCTAAGCTGTTTCCGATTTCTGGCTACTATAAATAGAACAGCAATGATTGTGGTTGAGCAGGTATGGTTGGATGGAGCATCCTTTGATTATATGCCCAAGAGTGGTATAGCTGGATCTTTTTTTTTTTCAGTAAGGATCTTCCTTTTTTAAATTTTTTAATTTAAATTAGAAACAAGCTTGCTTCACATGTCAGTCCCAGCTCCCTCTCCCCTCCTCACCTGCCTCCCAGCCGCCACCCAATCCCCACTCCATTCCACAGAGAGGGTAAAGCCCTCCATGGGGGATCTCCAGAGTCTGTCATTTTGTTCAGGGCAGGGCCTATGCCCTCCTCCATGTGTACAGGCTAAGAGAGCATCCCTCATTGTGGGATGGGCACCCAAAGTCCATTTGTATGCCAGGGATAAATATTGATCTACTACCCAAAACCCCATAGATTGCCTAGGCCTCCTCACTAACACCCACATTCAGGTGGTCTGGATCAGTCCAATGCTGGCCTCTTAGCTATCAGTCTGGGGTCCAAGAGCTCCCCCTTGTTCAGGTGAGCTGTCTCTCTGGGTTTCACCAGCCCAGTCTTGACTCCTTTGCTCATCACTCCTCCCTCTCTGTCACTGGGTTGCAGGAGTTCAGTTCAGTGTTTAGCTGCGGGTGTCTGCCTCTGCTTCCATCAGTCACCGGATGGAGGTTCTAGGATGGCATATAAGGTAGTCATCAAACTCATCAGGGAGGGGCATTTAAGGTAGTCTATATTGTAAGGTATTGTATAGCTGGATCTTGAGGGAGATCAATTCCCAGTTTTCTGGGGAAGCTCCATATTGACTTCCATAGTGGCTGCACAAGTTTGCACTCCCACTAGCAAAGGAAGAGCATTCCCCTTACCCCACATTCTTGTCAGCACTGAGCTATCATTCACTTTATTGATCTTGGCCATTCTAACAGGTGTAAGATGAAGTCTCAAAATAGTTTTACTTGCATTTCCCTAATGACTAAGGATGCTGAATATTTCTTTTAAGTATTTCTCAGTCATTTGTGTTTCATCTTTTGAGAGCTCTTTGTTGGGTACCTCATTTTTTGTTCTGTTTGTTTTTTGAGATAGGGTTTCTCTGTCTATGGCCCTGGCTATACTGAAACTCACTCTGTAGACCAGGCTGGCCTCAAACTCACAGAGGTCCACCTGCCTCTGCCTCCCAAGTGCTGGGACTAAAGGTATGCACCACCACCACCAAGCTGAGTACCCCAGGCTAGATTACTTGTTTTCTTAATGTCCAGTTGTGTTTAGTCATTTAAATATTTTAGATATTAACTGTAGGCAGATTTTTATGTCCGGGCAGCCAGCTCCCAAATAACCACATGGAGGCTTCTTATTATGAAAGCTTGGCCAATAGCTTAGGTTTAGCTCTTATAAATGAACCCATTTCTATTAATCTGTGTGCTGCTCTGAGGCTCCTTTATCTCATCTATGATTGTCCATCCTGCGTTCCTGCTTCCTCTGTGTCTCCTCTTGACTCTGCCTTCCTTTGACCCAGCATCCTCTGTGCCTAGAAACCCTGCCTAGCTCTTGACCATTCAGCTTTTCACTAAACCAATCACACCGGCATATCTTCACAACAACTAACCCTCTATCAGAAGCATAATTGGCCAAGATCTTTTTCCACTCTGTAGTCTACTGCTTTGACCAAATGATGGTGTCTTTCACCACACAAAACTTTTCAGTTTCATGAGGTCTCATTTATTGTTGATCTTAATGCCTGTGCTAACGGTGTCCTATTCAGAAAGTCTTTTCCTATGACTTCAAGAGTATCCCCCACCTTCTCTTCCATCAGAGTCAGGGTATCTGGCCTCATGTCGGCACACCTAGTGTTTTAACTGTACTGAAATTCTTGACTCTCAGATTTTAACTAGACCACCCAGTGAGGGCTTCATTCCCTACCTTTGTCCCATTCAATTTTTCTGTGTTTCTGTCTTACTTCAGTAAGACTCTCATGCTACTACAAGAAAGACAATATGGTTTTGTGTGAGAGAAAACCCCGGCCTTCAGTGAACTGAAAACCATAGCCTGTGGATTTTTTTCATTGTATTTTGTGTATGGATGTTTTTCATTCATGTATGTATGTACCCACATGCATACTGGTGACTGCAGAGGCCAGAAGAGGGTGTTGGACCCCCTTGCATAGGAGTCACATTGAGAGAGATCACATGACTAGAACCTGGTGGAGCAGTGCTCTTAACCACTGAGCCATCTCTCCTACCCTGTGTCAGCTAACTTTGCCCACAAGGCTTGAAACTCGAAAGACCCAGAATCAAATCCTAGTTCTGTAGATGACTTTATCGGTTTACTTAACTTCTATGTCTCCCCTTTCTCCTGTGTGAGAGGAGGACAGTAACATGTATGTCAAAAGGTTTGCTTTGATTAAATAAAGCTGATTGAAGATGTTTCATTACTCATGAAAATAGTAAAAGCTCACTGAATAGTAATAGTTATTATCAATACTACCTCTGGCTATTTTGTTGGTTTGATTTTTGTTTTTTAATCACAAACACTGTCCTCCATGTTGTAAAAAAGAATGACAGGGTAAAGCTTAGCAGTCTGGTATGGGGAGGGGGTAGAGGTGATGTCTAGAAGGTAGCTGGCACTTAGTAAGTATTGATTAGTGGCACATAATTTAAAGGATTTGAATGTCAAATGTCCGTCCTGGTAGATGAAAACAAATGGCCCTTGTAAACCCAGAGGATCTATGGTCAGGTACAGCCTTGATCTTTAGCGAACTGACCACGTGGTGCAGATGTGGTAAAAGATGAGCAGGCTTGTATTACAGCCAGTGTTTCCTGGCCCCTGCTTCCAGCATTTATTAATGTAACAAATCCAGATTTTTCTTGAATGGCTTATGATTCCCGCTGTATGCTGCTGAGGTTCCTCCAGGAAAGATGGGCGTACGCGTCTTAATGTAACTGCTCGGGCTGCAGTACTCTCCCCGTCTTGGCTTCTGGTCCTTTGTGAATTGTATCAGGTCCTCCCACTCAGCTCGCAACACCTTACTGTCCTTGCCTTTTCCGGTTCACCTTGGGCCCTTGGAAATAAGCCTGAGCTCTTTTTTGCGTGCATGTGCTCCAGCTATGGGCGCCGAGCGCCCTCTTGTGGTGAGACTTGCAGTCGCTCCTTCCACCCATTTCAGCATCAAAAAAGTAGGCTCCGGGTTTCTGGTTTTTTGGGTTTTGTTTTGTTTCTTTTCTCCCGGGTTTAGAAAAGATTTTTTCTGGTGGAAACAGCTCCAAGATGAAAGTCCCTTTGTCTGAATCACACGGTGCAGTTCGTTTTGTGTCCACACATCGCCACAGCTCCGATAAGCCCACACAGGCAGAATTGTCCCCACCGGAAGTCCAGCGTCGGCCTCCAGGAACAGAAAGACACTACCTAGGAGCAGTTATTACTGTTCCCAGTGAGGCTGAAGTTGATGCACTGTAGTTGGCATTTTTAAAAGAATTCATTTGGGTGTCTGTGTAACAGACGAATCCACTTCCTGTTTCATAACACTCCATAGAGGGCAGCAGATGTTTTAGAAAACACACACTTTGTTCTCTTTCTTTGTCATCCGTGGGCTTCTGAATTCTGACCTTGGTAGGAACACAGAGCGTGTGTTAATGTATTCCAGATGTAATTTGGAAAGTGCGACGTGAAACCTGGCAGCACAGCTTCGCTTACTAAGGGTTTCTATTATAATTATTTAGCAGTCTAGCTTTGAAAATAAAGAATAGAACTCCTCCCGGGGTGCCAAGAATTGCCATGTAATGTGCTTTCTATTTGCACTTACTGGTTCCGAAAAGGACCCCATACCCCCAAATCCAATCTTAAAGATGGCAACAGTAATATCTGCTCTACAGGGCTGTTGTGAAAAATCACAGCTAATTTAGTGTGAGGGCTAATTTAAGTTTCTCAGTGTTTCTCATCTAATCTTCACTCAGCAGTTCTCAACAGGGATGCTGTTGGCTTTGTCAACAGGGCAGTTTTCACCGTGTGGTACAGTCTGGGGCATTACAGGACGTTGAGCATCCAAGGGGTCCTCCTACCCAGCCACTGTGAGAAGCAGGCACCTTCCCAGGAGGGAGGTACTGCCCACCCCCGAAACTCACTGCTTGCCGTGACACCTAGGAAGGGAGCTGGTCTACAATGGATGCTGTTTCTTAGTTTTTCGGCCTGCAGGTCTGCAGTAGGGGCCCGCCCAGTGCAGGTCCACTCTGCTATAGGGAGGCCTGTAAGGCAGCTCAGGCCCCAGGACTCAGCAGTAAACCCCAGCGGAGTCCCTCCAGTACTGTTGGGGCAAAGCCCTGTGAATGGTCACCACTTTTAAGAGCCTAGCTCAGTCAGGGAAAAAAAATTCCTGTCAACACACACCTTCTGGGGGAGGGGCGGAGAACAAGCTTATGTTCTCAGGCAAACCCTTCCAATTCTCCGTCCCCAGAGGAGTTCATTTGTTCCAACTTGTGACTGTCTGAATTTGTGGTTAGAATTTGGTGAGTCACCTCACAGGCATTGGTCAGCGCCTGCCCTGTAGCGCAAACCCTGTTCTGAGCTCCTTGATGAATGGCTTCAAGGCCACAGTCCTTCAAGGCTCATGACCTTGTCTGCCATGGCCACACGGGAACAGTGTGTCTCAAGACCGAGTCTCTCCACTGCCTCCTCCTGCTTCCCCAGTGAGCGGCTCAGCTCGCGTGAGTGAAGGAGGGCTCCAAAGTCCTCTACGCTTCTTGGGTACCCGTGCACAGAGACATAAAATAATCAAAATAAATTTTTAGAGATGCATGACTGGTTACCCAACGAGTAACCCAGTGTCTTCTTTCAGCCAGGGACAAGTGGTGGCCTTCGGACCCCCAGATCATTTCAGAAGGGTTGTACGCCATAGCGGTGGTGCTCAGCTTCTCTCGAATCGCCTACATCCTGCCAGCCAACGAGAGCTTCGGGCCCCTGCAGATCTCCCTGGGAAGGACTGTGAAAGACATCTTCAAGTTCATGGTCATTTTTATCATGGTGTTTGTGGCCTTCATGATCGGGATGTTCAACCTGTATTCCTACTACCGAGGTGCGAAGTACAACCCAGCGTTTACCACGTGAGTAACCAGCCCTCTCCGTCCCTATCGGCCTCCCCAGGCTTCCTGGGGATCCTTGGGAACCTCTTGCAAGCGGTTTCTTGAAGAACTCAAGTTCCCTTGAGGTTGATGTGAGTTTTACTCTAAGTGGTTTAAAGTTTAAATTCTGAAATCAGAAGAACAAAGGAGTTAAATTCTCACTTTGCCACTATGTAGCTCTGGCTGGCCTGGAACTCCTGATGTAGATGAGGCTGGCCTTGAACTGGCAGAGATCTACCTGACTCAGCCTCCAGAGTGCTGGTATTGAAGACATGCATCAACCCCAGCCATGTCTTTGTTTTTAAAATGGGGGTGTATAGGTGGCTTTTCTGTTGCTATGATAAAATTTCATGACCAGAAACAACTTAAGGAAGAAACAATGACTTTACTTGGCTTTACAGTTTCAAATGGTTGGGGGGGGGGGTCCATGATGGCAGGAGAGGCGTGGCGGCAGGCAGATGGATCAGTAAACTAGGATCACATCTTCAGCTGCAAACAGGAAGTAGAGGGAAAGAGGACTGGAGTGTGCTGAGGCTGTAAAGTCTCAAAGCCCGCCCCAGTGATGTACTTCCTACAGCAAGGCTAGACCACCTCCCCACACAGTGCCACCAACTGGGACATTCCTCATTCAAAACACCACAAGGAACAACAACAACAACAACAACAACAACAACAATAATAATAATAATAATAATTCCTGCTTCATGCCGATAGCCTGAGGGTTCGGTGGGATGGGTAACCCAGACAACGTGCAATGCATAGCTGGAGAGGTGTCACCATTCGTGACTATGACAACAGCATACTTAACCTATATTACTCAGGTACAGAACCTGGACAAAGCCCGCATGCCAACAAGCTGTTAGAGCCAGGGGCTTACGATCCAGGGGACGTGAGACAAGAGAAAAGGAAATGGGAAGAGCAGGGAGAGCGGGAGACGAGAGCAGGGAACGATAAGAGTACGGGCTGCCACCCCGCATTCGCCCTGGGCAGAACGGACTTCTCCAAGGAGACGAGAAGGAAGCGCCGAGTCTCCAAATAGCCGACGGAGACACAAAGAGAATGTGCCAGCCGGATAGATCTCTCCCACCTGCTGTCACTCAGGGGTCAGATTCACTAACTCTCCTGTGCTTCCAGGGAAGTGTGGGAGGACCAGGTCCCGCCGAAGCTGTCCACACCTGGCTGAGCACAAAGCAAGTTTGCAGCTTCGTGCTCATCTTCAGCCAGAGCGGAGGCCCAGGCAAGGGAGGAGCAGAAGAGCGCAGCTGTGGTGGCTTCAGCTAGTCACACGCAGACAGCGCAATGACTCCATGCCCCCCTGCACCCCCAAGAGTGTGCAAAAGAGCCAGACCTCTTCCTCTCTGGGACGAACAGCGGTGCCCCCTGGAGGCCACCAGTAGCACTGAGCCCAGCCTAGAAAACGGATACAGTGAAGCCAAGTTCACACCCTGGCAGACACTCACGGCCATTAGCCGAGTCGGTGGACGTGTGTGAGCCTTTGTGTCCACAACTGTGTTGACACAAAACCTACAGCTCTTGTCTTAAAGGGCATAAGAGACCCTTTAGTCCAGAGCCACTTTGAGTGAGCATGGCCCAGGAACACAGATTTATTTTGCCCCCAATTCCATGTTTCTATGTGGAAGCATCGTCATGAAGTTGTACAGTTTTACAGAACGACCAAAACAAGTTCAAAATACATCAGAGAGGCAGGCACAGTGATTTGAGGGAAGTTTTCCTACAGGCTCCGGACGCTAAGCTTCCGGGTTGGCAGAGGCTGGTAGGCCGCTAAGATAATAGATATTAAGAGGGGGGTTTTCTATTGTCATAAGATATTTGTTCTGACACTTTTGTGTGAACAAAGAATGGCTGTTCTTGGGTGCTAGAACAGCCCAAGATAAGGTAACCAACCTCTGGGCCTGAAGCATTCCGGTCTTGTCAGAGAACTGAAATTCTAATCAGTCCAGAAGTCCCCACAGACACAGCTTCTCTCCGGGAGTTCTCATTCACAACTATAAAGAAGGAAATGAGACCTGCCCACCTTCCTCAGAAGTCCCTTCACCCTCCACAGACAGCTGAAGTACTTAATGCAGCGTCTGGCCGCAGTGTCTCTAGTCACAGTCTTTCCCCAGACCCATCAATTCTAGAACTTTCCGTCATCAAACTCTGGTCAGAATCTTGTCGCAGCTGGGATTAAGAGGGCTAAGAACCTACTGGCCCACGTCCCCAGGAAGGCCCGAGTAGCCGCTGGGAATGACTGGTCTTCCAGCAATCCCCACCTTGCGACAAGGGCTCAGCCGGCCCTGCTGACGGAGAAATCGTGCATCAAGGGGAGACACTTGCATCTAAGAAAAAGTGGTTTGACCTCTGTGCTGCTTACCTCAGAACTGTGGGTGCCCCTGCCTGCTCAGCTGGGCGGCCCTGCGTGCTGCTGACTCACGGGGTGAAGTGCCCACAGAGCCCATGCCGGGCCCAGGGCTGAGGAACAGCAGAAGCCTGCGTGCTGCAGGCCGTGGTAGAGCATCAGCACCCAGGGGTCAGAAAGACTGCATTTTCTCCTGCTCTGCACTGGCGCTCACTGTGAAGCCTTGGGTGGGTTCTTAAACCCCTGGGCCCTGGATTGACACATCCCTGACAGAAGAGGAACAAAGAAGCTCAGCCCCATGGGACTGTTGTCAGGACCTGGATGGAGGCAGGAGAGGCAGGGCACAAAGCCTCCAGCGAAGGGCAGTGACAGCAATGGATGTGGGGACTGAGCTGGCACTGTAGGGCCCTCTTTGGGCGGTGGCCTAGCTGACAGACTGGCCTCCAGCACATGATGCAGTCAATCAGAATAGTGTGTGTTTCTCCACTGCCTGTTGAAGGAACACAAAGGCATCCAGTCAGCAGGAGCCACACTGTCAACAGATGTGGGGAAGATGTCAGCCAGGAAGCAAGGGCTCTGTGTTCCCAGCCTCGCACAGGGCCATACCCAGAATATTTACACATCACAAGGCTTCGTAAACAAGAATGGGGAATGAACAGGAGAAATAAACCTAGACTCAAGGCAGCCCGGAAAGCCACTAGGTTATCTACAATTTGGGTATCTACACTGTCTTTGTCACATCGGCTATCTGGCAGCCCCAATCCCTCCCCTGAGCAAGTTCACAGGAACATGAAAAAGGCCAGACCAACGTGGGGCCACAGTCCTCAGCAGAGTGCAGCATAGTCCTTAAAGATAGCAACCCACTCCTATGTGCCAGGCACCGGGGACACCACAGAACAAACCAACAGTGGCCCCAGGCCTTCCCAGCTGGGCGTGGGGAGCGATCGGCACAGCAAACACGGGGAAGAAAGGACCGGAAACCCCCTCACCGTGGTAGTTCCTGGAATGGGATGTGTGGCTGAGTGGGACTTGATTGAATGGGAAAAGTCAATGGAGTGATGAGGCAGAGAGAAGAAAGAATGGATTTTTGTAAATGTCATCTCTTACCTTTTGACTGCTTGCCGAAGCATGTCGCCCCCAAGAGATCAGCCTTGGCATTAAAAATGCCACGAGGGAATCAAGGAGAGGAGTGTGTTTGGGGACTCAGGGTTGCATTAGTGTTGCTGTGGTGGTGCTGAAGTTACAAACCCCACTGAGTGCACACTGCCCCAAAGCAGGCATCCCCAGGCTGCCCACCCAGCTGGGTCTTCCCTCTACCCTCCTGCCCCCCTACACACACACACACACACACACACACACACACACACACAGAGGAAGTTCTTTCTGTAGATTCTAAAGTTGCAGGTTAAGAGGGGGCTTCTCTCTGTATCCATGATCTTCAGAAGCCGCAATCCTCTGGAATCGTATTTGGGTCCTCCGTCTGGTAAGAGAAATACTTAGAAATACTTAGATGGGTTAAATACTTAAATCAAAGATATCTAGTAAGAAACAAGCAAACAGCCAACAGCTTCATAATTAATACAGCATCCTGTGTGTTCATTTGGGGACTGCAACGTGGCAGAGCCCAGGCGACTGGTGGAGAAAAACCAAAATGGCTGGCAAGAAAAAGGCTTCTCTCTACAGGGTCCAAACTCATTGCAAGAGCCAACTCATCCTCAGTCTTGAACACGACCCCCCAACTCTGTGTCTTTTGTGTTCCGGTGAAAGGGGCTCCCAACAGTTGAGCAGGGGGTGGCTTCAGGAAGCAGCTGGCAAAATCCTACAGGGAGCCTTCTCAAGGAGCCCTGGGGTGAGGTTCAAGGCCAGCTCACAGAACCAGTCCTAACTGAATCTCACTAAGTTCTGTGCTGCCCCAATGCGAGGGTGTGACATCCATTCTGAGAGTCCTGGGAAGAAAAGGGAAAGCGAGGTTCCCTAAGGACTGCAGCCCCGGCCTCAGCCAAGCCCTGTCCAAATTCCCAGGGTACTCCAGCTCTTGAATCAAGGACCTGTCACCCCTCCCGCTAATTCCCATTTCCTCCATCCGGCAGACTGCATTGAGGTCTAGAAGAAGGTCGGAGGCCTGAATGAGTCCATCTCCGGGTATGAACAAGGACCCAGCCTCTTAGCTGAGATTAGCAGCCCCCAGACCGCATCGGTCTCACCAGGGGCAGTGGCTAAATTTAAGGTTTCCTGGACCCCACCTCTTGTCATCGAGTCATAGGAGTTGCAGAGCGGACCCGGAACACTGTATGAACAAAGCCTGCCCCTCCCCAGAGATGAGGCCGTTAACGGACGCGGGTTGGGGGGGCAGTCACTGTCGTCAGGAGTGGTCAGTGGTCAGTCTCTCAGCCTGCAGTGGACAGCTTACACCCATGCTTACGTGGCCAGCCCTGGTTAAACTCGGTGGGCCGCACGGCAAAAACATGAAACGACGTGTAAGAGTCTTTTTGTGGAGAGGAGCAGGAGTTAACTGGGGCGAGGGAGAAAAGACGGAGTGAGGGGTTGCAAATGAGATCAGAATGCGCCGTACATATGCGTGTATGAAGCATCCAAGGGGAAAGCTGTTTTCTTCTTAAAAGATCCACTGAGATTTTGATATAGGATTAGGCCACAAGGTTTTTGTTCTTGTTTTGATGTGAATCTAGAGCTGGGAGTGGGGTGGTTTGTGAAGACCTGTGTTCAGTTACCAGGACCCACTTAAAAGAGCTGAGTGAGGCAATGAGCTTGCAAACCCAGAGGTAGGAAGGCACAGACAGGAGGATACCTGGGGTTCCCGGACAGCCATGCTAGCCCAATCCATGAGCCCAGGTCGGTGAGAGACCCTGCCTGCAAAGCCAAGGTCAGCAGCTCCCAAGAGACAAGCATCCAGGTCATCCCCTGGCCTCCACACCCATGCACATGCACACAAGTATATCAAGCATCCAGGTCATCCCCTGGCCTCCACACCCATGCACGTGCACACAAGTATATCAAGCATCCAGGTCATCCCCTGGCCTCCACACCCATGCACGTGCACACAAGTATATCAAGCATCCAGGTCATCCCCTGGCCTCCACACCCATGCACGTGCACACACATGTATCCGCATGCACAGGGGCATGTGCACGGACAGACATACTCAGTGTGTACCTCATCCAGCCTTATCACCACTCTGATACAACGGATGCCATCTGTGCTCTGCATTTCCAAATGGAGGAGTCCGGTGGACTGCATACCTGCTTGGCAGGGCGTGCTCCTCTCAGCATGGGTAGCAAATGGTGCAGGCCCAGCAGGAGTGAGTCCTGGCGTCAGATCCCACGAGCATAACCTCTCAGACATCCACTCCAGAACCAGCGGCCCCCTGAAAGGTCTTGGTGGTTTACAGAAGCGCTTCTGGGGCAGGGAATTCCTAAGAGGGAGGAGCAGACCTGTGCATGCACAGCAGGGACCTGTTAGACATGACAGATAGCATGATTGTTGGCAGCTGTTAATCTGTAAACCATCTCTCTTAAAAATTTTTTGAATGGCCAAAAAAAAGAGGAATGGACTCTTAGACCAGTCGTGTGCTCTTTGAGTCTTAGAGTATCCAAGGCGTGGATGAGGAAGGCGAGAGGGAGATAGCTGAGAACACCCCTCCTTTAAGAAAATTCAGCCGGGTGTTGGTGGTGCACACCTTTAATCCCAGCACTCGGGAGGCAGAGGCAGGCGGATCTCTGTGAGTTCAAGGCCAGCCTGGTCTACATAGCAAGTTCCAGGACAGACTCCAAAACAATACAGAGAAACCCTGTCTCAACCCCCCCCCCAAAAAAGAGTTCTATCAGAAAGAAAGGAAGGAAGGAAGGAAGGAAGGAAGAAAAAAAGAAAGAAAGAAAGAAAGAAAGATTGAGTGTAAAATCATAGGAATTTGCTCTCTTGGGGATATTTATTTTTGTTACATCATGGAAGTTGACAAAGTTAGGCTTGCTTTTCGGAGATTTGCTTTAGAGTCAGTTTTACTGAGATGAATGAATTCCATAAAGCAAAGACATTCTGCTTAAAGATTACATGGAAATGTTGGCATCCTAGCACTCTTGTTACAGAGTTAGAAAGGTAGAGACATGGGTCTTAGCTCACACATGAAATTCTACAGGGAGAGCCTGCAGAGAGGATATGCGCCATCCTTATGTAATGACACATGGATTAAGGAAGACGCATTCTGGGCTGTTCCGTCAGTGTAGGAACATCACAGGCTGCACCGACACAAACCTACAGCGTAGCCTCCCACCTGCCGAGGCTGTATGTCACCACCAATAGATTCATCATTATGCATCATATGACCAGACAAATGCTCAGATAGGGGGACCAGGGCCATGGGTGACTCAGAGTCAAAGCAGAGCACTCTCTCACAGAATACACAATGGCTCACTGTCTCCCTATTAGGTAAGCTTGGCTCCCTCCACTTAACCCTGATTGAAGATTAAGGGTGGGTTCTGTCCTCAAAAAAAAAAATTAAGTTTAAAAAAAATCAAATGACCCTAGCCAACCTTTTCTATAGGCTGCTGTGGAAGGAACATCATAGCAAGCATCTAATCAAAAACAGTGCCTTTGTTAAAATTGTTCTATCTCCCCAGGAATTCCTTTAATGGAAGGAACTTTAGAAGTGCTGGGCAAATTTAGAAACTCTTGTTTTCCACGATAGCTGTGGGAAATTTCCATCCTCCTTAATAAGAGAATTCCTATGTCCCATCTCGCTCCAGGAACAGAAAGTGCTGACACACTCCCTCCCAATGGGTCCATCCTGCAATCCTGAGAGGCACTGGGCAGATGGAGGGGACCCTGCAGACTGCCACACATGCCCACCACACCTGGAGACCACCGCCCAACCTGCCTGAGCCTGAGCCTCGTGTACTCTGGCTCCTTTGGGAGGCAATAAGAGATAGGAATAATAAGAAATGCCATGCCTTAAGCAAATCATCACAGCCCTTTCATTTAACCTGTGTCATGGAAAGAAAGGTACCAATTTAAAAAAAAAAAAAAGGAGGCACTGGACTTACTCAAGATCATAGAGCCAGGAAATGGACAAGAACCTTGTTCATGACGGCCAATCCACCTCCTGAGCAGAAATGAATACGAGTAGAAATCCTACACCTGTATGCTTTGCTGTGAAGGCTGTCTCTTTGCTCTCCCGTGGTGCTAAATTCTCAAGACTAATATACTATGCAGGACGTTGTCAGTGAAACCCAAACAGTTTTGCACATTTCAGCTCTCAGTGTATAGCACAGACATCTCTACCATTTAATAGACAGTCATGGGACAACCACTGCATGTCAGGTTCTACTTCAGCCCTGCAGCCCTGCAGGGTTAACAGGAGACTCCCTTACCCCCAGGGGCTCTCAAGCCAGCAGGGTTGGGAGACGTGGGTGAGCAGTAGCTAGGACACTGCTTGATCATTGCAAATGACATTTGGGCAGCAGCTGGGGCGAAGTGCTGGATGCTGCCTGGGGGCGAGGGGAACGCTTCCTAGAAGGGACTGCTCTGTGGAGGCTTCTGGGAGAAAGCCAGAAGGGTGGCCAAAGAACTACACACAGCCAAGAGCCTGTGGGAGATGGAAACGATCACACAAGGGAGTCAGGAAGGAACTAAGTAGTGGAAGGTCTCCTGTGTCCTGAGGGAGGGTGAGAATCTCCAGTGAGGCCTCTTTAAAGAGGAAGATGTGCTCAGAGATGGCTTCAGACAAGGTGCTGTGACAACTGTGTGACAGGTGGGCTAGTGAGGCAAGGATGGAGACGTGGACTCGGCCTGAGCCTGCTGCTGGAGATTGGACAGTAAGCGAGAAGGAAGAGAGTGAAGAAACCGTCTTCAAGAAGGACTGTGACGGGAGCAGCTCCTGAGAGAGGCTGAGACAGGGAAGAGACAGACAGACAGAGACTGCAGAGGTGGAGAGACAGACAGAAGAGACTGCAGAGGTGTGGGCCAGGGGAGAGATGCAAGGGTCTGGCCATGTGCCGGTCCTGTGGGGCAGCCAAGACTGGATTGCGTCAAGCAGTGGCCTGTTACAAGGAGCCAGGGAAAGGTCCCCCTGTGGCATGCAGGTCCTTGGCTGCTACCATTCTATCTGTACATGGCATGTTGAATGTATTTGTAGACGGGCAACATGGGAGGGAATCAGCCTGCCTGGCCTCACTGGGGGCAGGTGTTCCCCAGGATCCCAGCCAGTACTGGAACACGGTGTGTCTGATCAGCAGCTCTGGGGGATGAGCTTCAAAATCATCCCTTATAATATTTCCAAGGTCATCATCGTCTCCCTTTACTTCACAGATTCACAGCAAGTGTAAGATGTTTGATGCACAGAAGACTTTATTAGATAAGTTCTGGGACCGATTGAGGTGTCACACAGTCCACCACGGGGCCCTGCTCAGACCCAGAGAGTCTGGGCAACTACTACAGTTAACACTAAGATGAAAAACAAAAAGTCTTACCTTTGCATGGCTCACTACTACCTAGGAGAGTCTTCCTTCTAGCTAACAAAGGTTTTAGAACCAACACTCTGTTGCTGAATAGTGTTGGTCTGGAACTACTCCTCTCCACTCCTCTGTTTATTCATGACGTGAAGTGTTAAAGCCTCTACGGCAGACTAAAAGATGACAAGGTTTTAAGGGATGTTGATGTTATTTAAACTCTGGTGGGTTTTCAAAGTGACAGTGTAAAAAGTAACTGGACTATGGCAAGGCAGCTTTCCAAGTGTGAGGAGATGAATTGCCCAGTGCCTTGAAAACACTGGCCAAATGATAGGCCTTGACAGCCCTAAAGCCACTAAAGGCCTGGATCCATTTTTTTTTATTGCAAACTCATTGTAAGGTTCCAAGGACTTCTACCCAGATGTTACAGATTATTGCTATTAAGGAGAAAAAAAATGAAAGAAAAAAACGCTAGTCCCAAAATGAGTAACACTTACTGACCAATTGGTACCGAACTGTTTGGTACACCTCACAGCATTGTGTTAATTCACTCGGACTTCACAACAACCTTACAAAATATAGGCTGCTGTTTTCCCATCTTATGGCAAGGAAGAAAGAGGTCCAGAGAGCCTAAGTTATTTGGCCAAAAACTAAACATCCAAACCCCAGCTGGACTGGCCTCAGAGCCTGCACTCCGATGGCTGTCAACAGCAAGGCCAGTGAACAGGAAGGGAAAGCCCGCAGCACAGACTCGTCCATTCGCTCGTGAACGCACACACATTCAGTTTGTTGAGTTCCTTCCCTCTGCTGGGCTGGACGATTCCACCCTCCCCCAGCTACCCTCCTTCCTTCTGGATTCTTTAATCCCAGCTCCTCACTTAGGACCCGAGATAGAATCTCGCAGTGATTCAGAGGCAGAGGCAGGAGCTCTGGGGCAGAGGAGCCTGGCAGGAAAACAGACTTCCCTGGCCATCTGACTGTCACCCCTCACCCTCCTCAAGCCTGGTGATTGTTTTGGGTCCCTGGCAGCAGGGTGTTGAGAGGAGAAGCCTTCCTGCCAGAGCTCCCTCCACTCCAAGCATCCTCCTCCATCGCCAGCCTGGATGGAAGCGGGTGTTGCTCTCTGGCGGAACTCTTAACAAGGGCAAAGCTGTTGCCATCTTCACTTGAAGAACGGCCCTCCCAGCCCTGATCCCCTTGCTTAATTTTAGCCTGCGGGCTGCACGTTTGGGTAGGTAACCGAACTGCAGTGAACAGTTGCGGGTGGGGCTCGTGGCGTTCTGAAGAAGCAGCAATTTTCCTAACAATCGCCCTAAACGGTCGCCTTTGTTGATCAGCTTGTTCTCTGAGTCGCATGCACGCCGCCTCTTCAGAAAACCTGTGATTAGCGCCTCATTATCCAGGCGAGACAGACCTGGTAGAGAACTGATTACCTCGTCCCGGCTTTCTGCCTGACAGATCAGCCCCAACCTTCCCACACACACTCCCACCCAAGGAAGACAAGGGTGAATCATGGTCTATTCAGTACCACTACAGGCTCTCAGGGCCTCCACTTTGCTAAGAGGACTTCTCATGCTACGGTGGCCTATTGACTCAATTCAGTCCCTTCCACTGCAAGCCAAGGACCAAAAGGGAAGACAGGAAAAAAAAAGAAAAAAAAAAAGGCAATATGGGCCCAGAGGAACCAAGTGATAATTAGCATGAAGTAAAGCACCTGTAGTGATCTGGCAGCTAGGAAGGGAAACAAGGCTTGTACAGGAAAGTCATTAATACCGAAATGATTAACTCCATTCAATGGGCAGAGGCCTTTCGAGCTGGCGGGGCTGCATGTGCTACCAACCAAGAGAGAGGCGTGCAGCAGCACCTGGCTTACAGCCTGGCAGCATTCTCTCTGGCACCTTCTAGGTTTCTTTCAGAGCTCAACAAACCAGAAAATGAATCAAAAGACTAGCAACCATTCTGTGTGCACTTACTGTCTACATTACCAAGTTGTTCATTTACTCTTCCTAGCAAGTGAGCAATAAAACACCATTCTACCCTTTTGATGGTTGAACAAACGGAGACCCTAACAGGCTTTACAACACGTTTAAACGCGCACACATGTAGAATGGGTATACATCATCCCTGCTTTTCCCCACCCATCTCTGTGGAGATGTCTGTGACTGGCACAGTTGAGGAACTCCAGAACTCCACCCCACAGCCACGGGGGTGAGCGGAGCCTGGAGAGCCAGCAGCTGCCACCCTTGCCAATGAGGAACCCCAGACATGGCTGTGGAGCTGCCAGTGGGGGCTTTTATGAGTAGCTTTGTAGTCAACATCAATTACATCAGCCCCAGGGGTTTCATCCCGGAGGGCAGCTCCAGAAGGTGATTGTAACATGAAAAATTAAAAGGCCCAGAGACAGATATTGAGGTTCAAACTCGAAGCTGAAGAACAGAAAAGCAAGGTAGCGGGCCACTAGCTCTAACCACCACCTCAAGCCAAATGGGCTGATCCTGTTGCCTCTCCTCAGCGTGGCTGGAGAATGAGGGCTCTTATGCTCAATGTGGCTGGAGAATGGATGCCTCCTACTGCATACTGAAGAGCCTGCTTCTATCTTTTATACCCCTCTAGTGCTGGGATTAAAGGTGTGAGCTAATTCTATTTTAGACTGATTCAATCTCGTGTATCCCTGGGAGGCCTTGAACTCAGAGAGATCTGTCTACCTCTTAATCCTTGTGGGTCTTGTGGGTCCTGAAAATTCTAGACAATGATCCAGACAAAAGGGCTCAAACCTGTGCTGCCCATCTCAGGAGGCTGAGGGAAAAGGGAACCCACAAGTTTAAGGCCATGCTAAGATACACTGCAAGACCCTGTCTCTGGTAATTAACTAAATAAATGGTGGGTGGTGATTAAGACACCATCCTTTCACGGAGCTAGCTGGAGGGCCCACGCCCTTGGGATCGGTGATGTTTTCCTGGCCTGATTCGAAGACCGTGATCTTTCTTAGGATGTATTATGTAGGCTTCCAGGATATGGGTAACACAAATCGTTTCCCACTAAGGGCAGTGAGACCGAGCCTCTTCTTTTTCTTTTATTTCTGCCAAACCCCAGGCTGGAAGATACTAACCCGGCATCTCACTAAAAGCCCCTTGCACATTAAAAATTGTACACTTTTCATTGGCGTTTCCCCAACAGGAACGCCCTCTGCTTTCTTAGAATGTCTGTTGTTCTCATACTGATTCAGAGGCGTGTTGTGAAGCCAAGTGTGTTGGTGCAAACATGTGGTCCCAGCACTGGGAAGGCAGAGGCCATGGGGTCAGATTCAAGGCCACCAGCTTTGGTGACATACTGAGTTCAAAGCCGGCCTGGGCTATGTGAGACTGTCCCTAAGACATTACTTATTGTTAGCTGTATGGTTTGAATGTAGATGCCCCCACCCCTAGGCTCGTGTGTCTGTGTAGGTGGGTTACAGAACCTTTAGGAGACAGAACTGGCTGGAGAAATGGCCCGGGCTTCACCTGAGCCCCTACCTGCTTCCTGACCACTGGGACTGGAGCAAACGGCCTCATTCTGCTGCCACCATGACGCTTCCACTAAGCTATCTTCTCAAGCCATGAGTCCGAATACAGCATTCCTACCTTAAGGGGCTTCTTGTCAGGCATTTGGTCAAAGGGGCAGGGAAGGTTCCGAGTGCATTGGCTGACATTGCAGACTCGATTCGTCTGTCAACTGACGTTGCAGCCCTTTTCCCGAGTTTCTGACTCATGTGCTTCTGACATTCAGAAGCTAATTTCTTCTGTAACTGGATCTCTCAATGTTTGTATTCACAGTTTCTGAAACTTTCCCCAAGCCAAGATCGTCTAGTGAGTTCTCAACATCATATGCTAGTGTTAGCCATAGGAATTTTTTCCCATTTTAACTTTTCAATTCCACTCAGAACTTATCTATTCAGATTGTGTCAGTCTAGATAAAATATGATACCACTCACAACTTAGCCTAGATAATCTGCCATAAGTCAGCCAGTAAGGTTTCCCTTCCAATAATAATAGCAAACACTAGTCCGTTCACAGTGAATACACTGTGGAACCCCTTCCTAAGCAGCCGGCTGGGTCCAGATTCAAAGCCCAGCCCAGATGGGGCTCTAATGTACTGACTTGGTCAGTCAAGCCTACCTTCTCTTTAAAAGACAGTCTGTTCCCTCAGCTCATCTTGCCTCATGCAAAGAGGAGATAGAGCCGAAAACTGTTTCTTCAAGAGCCTGGACAAGACTGTTGCAGTCTGGCTAAGCTCCCTCCCAGCCAGTCAGGGGTGGGGGATTGCCCCTCTGGAGAGGAGGCTTGCACTCTGGCAATCCCTGTGAGTCTGGGACTCTTGTAATTAACCCCTAGAGATAAGGCTAAGTGGAAGTGCAGAGGTCAATCCTTCCACTGTAGAGGGGATGTCAAACACCCTGGCTTGGGATCAGGGTGAGAACTGATCTGTCACTTTAGAGATCACACTGTAAACACACTCACCAAGAGACCACACAGTGAACCCACTGACCAGGAGAACACACTTAACACACTTACCAGGAGACCACACTGTGAACACAACAAGAGACCACACTGTGAACTCACCAAGAGGCCACACTGTGAACACATTTACCACAAGACCACACTGTGAACTCACTTACCAGGAAGCCACACTGTGAACACACTGCCAGAGCATAGTCTGCTCGATGGACAACTCTGCTTCCTTCTGGTTACAGACAGAATGCTCAGATGAAGGATATGGAATAGATACAGGCTCAGAGGCAAGGATCATAGTGATAAAACTGTGCATGCAGGATCTGAGTCATCTTCCCTAACTGAAATGGAAATGCTTGGTCGTGCATGAGTTCCATGTGACCTCACTGGTGTCCACCAGGGACCTGTGGGGTGATCCAGGGTGAAGAACAGAAAATGAGTTTGGGTGAAACATCTTGTGGTCACAAGTATCAGCCACTGTTTCTATCGTTCAGGACAAGTGCACAGTCCCGGGCCAGCCCTGATCGCCCAGCATTTCCTCACACAGCGTGCTTGGCACTTTTCATTGGATCCTATCCTGTGCAAGAGATGGAGAGCCGCTGGCTCCTTCCAGTTTAGGATCTGGGGCTCATTCCGCCATTTGGGATTCTCTATGCCATTGTTCCTTTCCAGGAGATAACAGCAGTTCCTTCATGGTGGGAAATGGTATCTCACACATGATAGCACCATGTTTTCACATAAAATGGATTGGACATCTCGTATAAGAAACCGTTTTCCCTACTAGAACAGCATTTGGGACCCAGAGCTCTGCAGAAATGGCTCTGTATCCAGTCTTCACTTCAAACCCTGCAGCTGAGCCGGGCACAGTGGTGCACGCCTTTAATCCCAGGCAGAAGCACAGGCAGGCAGGTCTGTTTGAGTTCAAGGCCAGCTTGATTTACCTAGTGAGTTCCAGGCCAGCCAAGGCTACACAGTGAGACTCTGTCTCCAAAGCAAAACAAACCTGCTACTGAATTCCTGATTAAATGTTACAAACTCAGAGCTTCGAAGGAAATCAAAGTCAAGCAATAGCAATGCAACCTCACATGGGATGCCAGCTTCTCAGACTCTGGGGTGCACATGGAATGAGCCACACAGCTGGCTGTGCACACTAACCCCACCCCACACATAGACACCCCACACTCCCACATGCAGGGAAACACACTAACCCCTCCCCACAAACATAGATATCCCACATTCCCACATGCAGGGAAACACACTAACCGTACCCCACACAGACACCCCACATTCTCACATGCAGGGAAACACACTAACCCCTGCCCCACACACATAGACACCCCTGTACACACTAGCCCCCACCCCACACCTAGACACCCCCACATTCTCACATGCAGGGGAGCTGTAAATTCATGCAAGATAAGACTGGATTTTTAGCTCAAGTTGGGAATAGCATTTTGTACAGTTTCTCAAATGAATTTCAATGCTCAAGAAACTTTGGTGGGGTGGGGTGAACTCAAGTTAATCCTGGTCATTTGTGGGTGGGTGTCAAAAATCTGAATGTTAGAGAGGAAAAAAGAAAAGTCCTTTCTTATAATGGCAGTGAAAATCTGGATGCAGACTAGGAGTTGAACTTTATGTCCCTCGCGCTCAAGCATGCGCTAAGGCACCCAACCGCAAGCTCGCTCTTTTATTGGATTCTGTGTAATAATATGCACCATAGCCAAAAGGTTAAGCCTGTGAGTGGGGGATTGAAACCACTGTACTCGGTAACTAACAAGGGTCAAAGAGCAATCTGCTGAAGGCCAGATCTTCCCTGGCCCGCCTTTGGAGTATTGTACGACACCTACCGGATGCGGCAACTGTAGCAACAGAACAATGTGGACATTGCCCTCAGCCTCTTTTCTAACCAACTGCCCTAGTTAGGATTTTCATTGCAGTGAAGAGACACCAGGACCACGGCAACTCTTATAAAGCAAACACTGAATTGAGATGGGCCGCTTACAGTTTCAGAGGTTCAGTCCATCATCCTCATGGTGGGAAGCATGGCAGCGTGCAGGCAGACATGATGCTACAGAGGTGGCTGAGAGTCCTACATCTTACAGGAAGTCAACTGAGACGCTGGGCAGTATCCTGGACATAGGAAACCTCAACGTCACCCTCCACGGTGACACACTTCCTCCAACAAAGCCACACCTCCTAGTGGTGCCACTCCCTGTGACATTATGGGGGTCAGTTACATTCAGACCACCAAACCAACCCACTCTGCTTTAGAGGTCTTCATTTACTGACTGGCCTCAGGTAACAGATGGAGGTAAACATGAGTCTACCACCAAGTGCCACCAAGTATCATGAGGCCCTAAGTGTCAGGCGGCCGTGCCAGCTCAGTCTGTCTTACACGGGTCATGACCAGGCTGTGTAGCCTGAGAAGAGCGGTGTGAGAGCCCACTGCAGGGACAGTATGCTTTCTTGAGACTCAAGGGCAAACATTTGCCCCGGATTTAATTTTAGATGTCTGATTAACTACAGCAGGATGAAAACAGTGTCTCAGCCAGGAGCCCCAGCAAAACTGAAATCTTAAAAGGAAGAAATTGCCACGTAAGGGTCTCTCTGGGTCTTCTCAGAAATCTGAGTATTTCAGTATTTCGGAATGTAGGCATCGACAGTCATCACAGCCCCAGCCCTTGTGGGGGCGGAAGAGGGTGGAGGAGGAGGCAGGAGGGGCACCATTTTCATTTTAAAAGTGTGAACCAATTCAGGCTTCATGAAAAGGGCCGTCTGTTTCCTTGCAGAGTTGAAGAAAGCTTTAAAACCTTGTTTTGGTCCATATTTGGCTTGTCGGAGGTGATCTCGGTGGTGCTGAAATACGACCACAAATTCATCGAGAACATTGGCTACGTGCTGTACGGCGTCTACAACGTCACCATGGTAGTCGTGCTGCTCAACATGCTGATAGCCATGATCAACAACTCCTATCAGGAAATCGAGGTAAGGCGGCTCGGCGCTCTCCCTCCCTTGGCTAATCACAGCACTTCGGCAAAGAGGGTGGTGACAGCAGACACGCCTGTCGCCTCACATATGAAGCTAAAACAGTAACAAGACATTCTTCCTGGACCGCGCTGGAAGGTTCCTGTCAGTCTGCCTACAAGGCCCTGCTGCTAACCACCGCGTGGAAGGGCCTGGTGAGAGCAGAAGGATCCAGGACTGGGCATCATTCAGACAGCATGCCCATGGCACATAAGCGTGGCCATGTGCCCATTTCCCTTCCGTGTAGATGGAGTTTCTGTCCCTCCTGGTCCAACAGCCGTTTAACACAGAGACTCGTATTAACTATAAGCTGTTTGGCCGATGACTAGGTATTGTTAAATGAAAAAAAATGCAAAGTGTATTTCTCCAAATAGAAACAGGTAAATCTGTATATATGATGATGCAAATGGGAACATGCAGGGAAAAATGGTAGAGAGGGATTGCCAAGGATGGCGCCACAATCTTCCTGCAGGGCAGAGTATTGGAAGAAGGCTCAAGCAGGGCCCGTCACATTTTCTGGTAAACCCTGTGCTTAAAAGATAAGAAATGATTATTTTCATGGTTCTCATATAGACGAATAAAGAAAGTTAGTTTAATATGGCTTTTATTTAAAAAAAAAAAAGGAAAATCAGACTATGTGGCTTAAATGCCAGGCTTTTATCACCTCATACTTCTAGAGGCTGGAAGACCCAAATGTCTGGGCAGATGGTTCCATGAAGCCGCCCTTCTTGGCGTCCAGACTGCAGCCTTCCAGCTGTGTCCTTGGGTGGCTTTTCTGCCGATCCTGCCTGATCAGGGCCCTGCCCTCACAGCCTCCTTTAACCTCAAGCACCGTCTAAAAAGGTTCTGTCTGCAAACACAGTCCCATGCCGGAGCCGTGGGGTCAGGGCTGCAGCGGGTGGGTATTAAGAGGACACTATCCAGCCCGGAGCCGACTCTCCCAGGAAGATCATTCCAGACGGTCAGAACAGCATGTCTCAGGACAGGGAGGGGCAGACAGAGCGGGCCACTCCACACTGCAGGGCCCCACACTGGGCGAGGGAAAGAGGCAGGAGGCTGGAGGATAGGGCTCTCCACCTGACCTCCCATGCCAGCATCTCAATGGTCCGCTGATCAACCTTCTCTTAAAGATGAGAAACGCCTCTCTCCAGTGGACTCTCACGGTGCCGCACCGCCAGCGACTCCTCTGCCCTCTCCCACTGTTGGCTCCTGCCCGATCTTCACTCCACCCCACCTCCCCACAAGCAGGCCGAGAACTACCCAGCTCTAATATCAGCCACGAACAGACTTTGAACCCCGAGTTAGGCCAGCCCCTACACAGATCGTCTCTCAGCTCTGGCACATCTCTTGATCAAGTCCAGGCTGGGCTGATGAGTGATCTGACCCGCCGTGCCAATGGCCAGGCTTGGCGTTCCAAGGGGCATGCTTCCTCCTTGGAAAGCACGGGGTAGAGCCTTTGCTGTGACTGGCAGCTGACAGCAAGGCCCGTGCCAGCTATGGAAGGTGAAGGGTATTTCTCGTCAGTGCATAGTCCCCTTAGTTCTTCTGGCTGCCCATGGCACAGGTGATTACTGCACTCTCCCCAATTTATAAACGAGACGACGGAGGACCAGAACGACTAAGTCAGATACTGTAGTTTCATAACTATAAGGACCATGCCAGGATTTGAACCCATGCAGAAGCCATATTCTTACAAGTGTAGCAGCTGTCCTCCTGTTTCCAGTCTCCTTGCTACACCAGGAATGACCCCCATGCTCACAAAGCTTCTAGTCTGCAAGATCCAGTGTGTACAGGTCAAATGTGAAGCCTTAGAATAGAAAGCAAAGGCAGCCTTGCTGGTTGTGGGCTTATACCCCAGTGGTCCATCCCAGCAGGCTCGCACAGGTGCATCCTTGATGGGCTCCTGGTGCCTGGGTGTGTGTAGCCACTGCCTGTGCAAGCAAGTGTACACTTGGTGCCTGTCTCGGAACAACATGAAGGAGGCAGTGTTACCCACACTCTACGGATTCACAAAGCCCCAGTCACATCATTAATAGGAAACTTTTAAGGCAGGTATGTATGGTTTTAAACCTCATCACCTTAGGCTCATAGTTCATTTCTGGGTGACTCTCCGCTAAGAGATGACCAGCTCGATGCCGTAGTGGCCAGAGCTGTGAAGTCGGAGGACAGGAGGCTGAAGCTGCTGTAGCAATGGTTCTTATGAACGGCAGGTGGGAATCACTGGCGGGTGCACCAGTGGGGGTGGGGGAGACATAGCCCTGACTGAGGCTTTTCCACCGTGAATGCCAAGGCAGGTGGAAAGCTCCAAAAGTGATGCTTGCACGTGACCTTAGAGATAACCCTGTCCTGTGCCATCCCAGACGGGGGCACA